TGTGACTGGTTGAGAAGACCAAGTCACTCCTCTTAGGATATATATAAAAACAGCAAGCTAGTTCAGAATCAGTCAGTCAAGTGGAGGAAGTATCTAAATTTGGGACTTAAGAATTTCAGGCTCCTGAGAATCACCCTGGTGGGGAGAGATGATGAGACAGCGTCTCCTTTTTCTCCCCCCACTCTCCACTGACCAGAGAGATCGAGCTAATAGGAAACAATGCCCCTAGCTGGGAGTGGGGACAGACATCCTATGGGCAAACAGAAGGTCACCTGGGAAAAGGCAATGGATAATGCAGACATAGAACTGACAAGTTACAGCTTTGTGAACTTCTGAAACTCAAAAGACCTGGAGGGGCAGCTAGGTGGCACAGTGGACAGAGCTCCAGCCTTGGAGTCAGGAGGACCTGAGTTCAAATTCAGCCTCAGACATTTGACACTTACTAGCTGGGTGACCCTGTGCAAGTCATTTAATCCCGATTGCCTCACCAAAAAGCAAAAACAAAACAAAACAAACAAACAAACAAAAAAAAAAAAAAGACCTGGAGATCCCTTTGGTATCAACAGCAGTAACCACCCAAGTCAGAAGCAACATCAGTGGAGAAGCAATGGTAATGGCAACATCAGCAATGGCAGAAACACAATGAAGACAAACTAGGCCCACTGAGGGAAGGCAGCTTCAGGACCTCACAACCTAGTAGAGAGTTACACCTAAGGAGAATTTCATAACGATTCTATAAAAGGAAAAAAGGACTCCCAGTAAACAGGAGCTGTGAACCCTTCACCATATGTGTTCTCTATATATGTGTCTTACAACCGTTTTATTATAAATTTGAGCCCTTCCTCCTGCGGATCTTGTGTGTGCAAAAGGAAAGTGTGCCACTAGACTGGGGTAAGAGAGGGGAAGGGGGGAGAGTGAGGGAGAGGAGTGTTTCTGTAACAACTGTTCTTGCTATACCTGCTTATTAGATACTCTTTCTAAAAGCTTATTAAGTCTGACACTAGTGGGGGCTCATGAGTAACAATACCACAAATTCCAAGCCTCCAAGCCTACCCCTAAAATCCTAAGGAAAGAAGTAGTCAGCTGCTCTTTAAATAGTCTCACCACCAACGTGACTGGGAGTTGGGGAAGTAATACAACACGAGCTCTGAAAGGTAAAGCAATTTGCCTAAGGTCACAGAGCTAGTTAGTTACAGTTAGAACTAGAACCTAAGTCTCATGTCTCCTAGTCAAGTATTCATCCCTCTACCCCACAACGTATATGAGAGTGTGAGGTCCAGAGTATTCCCCAGATGAGTAAATTTGTTCAGAAGGAGGGGCCAGTTGGAATACATAAGCAGCCAATGGAGTACTCAAGTTTGGATTTTCTTCCCCCAGGGAAAGTGAGCACCCAGTAGGAGTTGTGAAAAAGTGGGAGAAGTTATAGTTTAGGACAGATGACAGCCTGAGATTCCTGAGACACAAAGCATTTCTGATAGTCTACGGAACTATATTTCTGTTTTTATCATTCTTGATCATCTTTAACACAATTACTTAATTTTAAGGTGGGAGAGTTTTTATTTTATCTGTTCCAGCATTTACCATGCATAATAAAAAAAAAAAAAGTAAGTATTTTGCCCAAGCTTAAGTCTAATGGTGACGAACATCAGCATACTACTTCCTGGTTCAGTTAGAAAGTGGACAAGAGGTCTTCTGAGGTTCCCTCCAGTGCTGACATTCTCTTCTGCTTCCCAAATGACTCGTCTTAGAAAAAGACTGATCATATGTCACTGCTGTGTCCTATGTCTTGTCCCGGGAGTCTATACCCCTCATTCTTGCACAAATGATGCCATGTCCAAAATAGATGCTACTCAGACTAAGAAATGGAAAAATAGTTAGTCTGGAAAACCAGGTTTAAAATCCACCTCTTGTTGCTTACTTACCTCTGTGACCTTAGGCAAGTCAATTGCCTTCCTGTGCCACAGTTTCCTCGCCTGTAAATTAAGATGGTCAGACTCACTGACCTCTGACATTCCTTGCAGCTGGAGTTTTATAATTCTGTGATCCTGGTGGCTCTGCCCAGGGACTCTGGCTAAGGAGGGGGAGAACAGAATTCCAGGGTTTGAGAAAGTCGGGCATTAGGTATAAAATGGCATCATTCAGTGATATATCCCTATCTATTTTTCCAACCTCATGGCCAGTGCTCCCATCCAGGGATAGTTATTGGCAGGTAAAGGTGTGTGCTGAAGGCTAGGGTTATTATCCAGTTATTAGTTGAAGTGTTAAGGAGAGGAAGAGATTTTTTCTCAAAAAAATCTACTAACCTCCTGGATTGACTTTTGTAAAAGAAGTTAAGATCCTCTATCCACCATTAAATGGGTGGAAAATAGTTTGAAAACAGACTGAATGACCCCTGCAAGGACTCTTCCTGGCAGAAGGATTTGCCAATTCAATGGACTGATTTTGACAAGACCTAGAAATAAAGAGACGGGGACCCTACCATAGCTACCACTTCCCTCAACCATTTCCATCCCTCACAAAGCAACAATGTTCTTCCCTGACCACTCCCCCTCTCTGCCCTTGACATTATCATCTTAGCTCCTCCTGAGCCCCTATTTTCCAGTTGCTGGTAGGCATCATGATAGAGTCTTAGGAAAAGTCCAAAAGTCACAGGACGTAGAGCTGGAAAGCAAGTTGAAGATTATCCAGCCCAATCCTCTCATTTTATGGGTCAGAAAATGATCATGTGATCATAGATTTAGAAGAACCTTCAAGGGCATCTAATCCAAACCTCTCTCATTTTACAGAAGAGGAAAGGGAAACCCAAAAAAATTACCCAACATCACACAGACAGTAAATTACAGAGTCAAGATTTCAACCCAGGTCCCTCTAACCTGTCTTACAATCTGTCAAGTGATGACAACAGCTCAGCAAGGCATAAAGTGCCCCATCTCCTCTCGCAGCTGTATGTCCATCATGTCCCTGACTCTCCCCCACGCCAGGAGACTATCTTGGCACTAAGCATGACGCACTGGCAATAAGTTTTTCTGATCTTTACTGCGTCAGCTCTCTCCTCTCCTCCAAAATCCAACTCAAAACATCTTCTGAGAAGTCTGCCTTGATTTACCTTACTGAGCTCTAGTCCCTCTATTCCCCTGCGGCCCTGGAATGCTCACAGGCCTTCGTGTTTGATGGAAAACTTTTATAAGCTCCTAAAACTAGAGAGATAAGCCACCCCCCCCCACCATGCACCCAACACTGTGATTCAGAGAAATACATTCCCTGACTCCACCATCTGAGCTCTGGCCTGAGGACTCAGTGAAGCTTTAGCTACACAGCAGGACTGGATGAAAAACCCCCAATGGGAGGCTGAGTTTCAAGGGTAGCAAATTGTTAAGAAGATATTTCCTGGATGATTCACAGTTTGGGCCATGGTTATCCTTTGTTTGTAGCCAAGTACAGGGTGAGGTGCCCTCATTAAAATTAAAAAGCAAATGGTGAGCAATAGCTAGAGCCCAGCTCCAGAGTCTGACTCAGAGTCTCTGGCTGTGTGATCTCTAGAAGGCAGCTTAGCCCCTTTCTACCCCTGTTCGTCTTACCTATAAAATGAAGTGACTAAGATAAAAGGGGATCCAAGACCATGAGGCATCATTATTAGCAAGATGTGGGAGGGCTCCAGACTACGTGTCAATGCTTTGCTGAGGATACAGTATTGGAGTCAAACCATTAACCCTAAATAGCTTCCATATGGCCTGTACTCCTGAGCTGAGCAAAACAGTCTTCACCAGCTCCTTCCGAGGCCCAAATCTGATTAGGGATGATATTAGTCCACTAGGTTGAATAGAATTTAGGGAATTCATCTTCTCTGACGAGTCCAGTCCAATTGTCTGTCCTTGAAAATGTTTCTATGCATAGACCTGGTTGGCCCCAACCTTTGCCATAGGTTGCCTATTCCTCCTGTGTTCCTGAATCCCAAGAAGGCCAAGGTAGGAGAATGTGAATGGTGAAAAAGCAAGCCATCCCTACACTAATCATCTCTCTGGCCTCTAGATGGAGAAGATACTCTTTACAGAGTATACAAACTATGTTTGTACTTTGATTCCAGATTCCTGTAGAACAAGAGTGAATTGGATGGAACAGGGCCTTGGCCTGGAGGTCGGGGGAAGTAGAAAGAGGCCCCAGCAGAGCAAGAGTGGACAGGACCATCAGCCTGGTTACAATCACTACTACTGGTCATCCTCACAATGTCCCCTTTATTCTTGTCCATGATTGAGTTTAGGGGAAGGTAGAATCAGGGAGAGAAATATGACAAACCAAGAAGCTTATGGGATGGTCCTCCTCCACGTGGCATCCAGGCAAGAGGTTTCTCTGCCAATACTCACATACTTGATATCACCCAGGGCAAAGAGCAGCAAGATGAATACTACCGCTTCTGGCCCAGGAGAGTTTTCTAGCTAACACAGGGGGCAGATAGCATTTCTTAGGAAGCTAAACCATATGGACATTTGGAGATCATCCCCTATGTAACATCTTGGGGCCTTTGGACTGCATTGCTGTTAGGCTAAAGAATGTGTTCAGAAGAGAGCAATAAAGAAACTCATCAGGCCAAGCTCAGAGCCTTCAGCCTCGCATCTGCTAGGGAAGTTGGAATTCTAGCAAGACCAACACTGAGCTGACCCAGCTGAACTGGTGAACCTGGGCCACATCACACAACCTTTTCATTCAATTCCCAATCAGTACCTTGGAGAGCTTATGATTAATCAATAGAAATAGAGAGAATTTCTAGTACCCTGGAGCAGGGGTGATGGGGTACAGTATGAAAATGTTCAGCAAAAGGAGCAAATTTGCAGATGGAAAGCAAAGCGCCACAGAGCCCCTGGCCACGCCCCAACTCCCCTCTGATAACAGGCCTGACTCCCAGGCGTACAAGCTGGAAGGATTATTGCATCACTCAGGATCTGGGGATTAATGACAGGGAGTGGACTGGACCTGGGTACTTAACTAATCAGAGAGGAGCCTGAGACAGCAGAGGAAAGGTTCCAGATTTGAGACGACCACTTTCCTTCTTCTCCTGTTTGGTCCCCCTTCCCCTCATCTTCACTCTTGTCACTAGGATGAAGCCTCCACCCATTCTGCTCTTCCTCTGCCTCCTAGGTAAGTGACTCTCTCTTCCCCAAAGTCCTTGGAGTGGTGGTTTTCTCAGCTTCCCTCAATCCCCCTGGAGAAGCCAACACTCGCTCCACAGTTCACCAAAGGGAAGTCCTGCCCTTGGGGTCTCAGCCACTGCAGCAGGGAGTGAGCAGGAAGGAGCTAGCTTAAGTGTGCCACAGATCTTATACTCAGGCAGGAGACCTGCATCCTAATGTGAGGTCTCCAACTCATCGGCTGTGTAATTTTGAACAACACATGTTACTTCTTCAGGTCTGCTTCCAATCTATAAAACGAGGGATTTGTACTAGTTGATGTTCTGGTTCTGACAGTCTAAGTCTATGGTCCCTCTTCAAGGTCGAACATTCTTTGTCTAAGATCACTAACTAACTAAAGCTCTTGACGAGATGATCTCTCAGGCTCGCTGTAATTCTAACTTCTTTTTAATCTATGAGCCAGGATGTGAAAAAGAGAGGTGAGGGGAACCTCCACACACATTGCCCCAGCAGGGAGAGTCGAAAGACCTCCCCAAAACACCTTTTCTTCCTGAGGTCTGAGGCTTGGACTAAATCATCAGAGGTGCGAAGTAGCCCAAGACCAGGACCCTGCACCAGTGGATCTGCTCCCTGTGCCAGCAGGGAAAGTCATATTAATCTGGGAAGGCAAGGTAGTCTCCATCCCTGTGGGTGGGTTCTGACACGGAATGCTAAATCTACTTCTAACGTCACTTTTTGCTTCATGGCCCTCCACCATCTCCCCACCCTCTGCCCTAAAAAAATTCAGCCCCATCATTAGTACCCATTGCATTTGGGGAAGTACACAAAAAGCAGTTGGAGGAGAGAAGGGAAGGTGGTGGGGTAAACAATGGAAAAGGTTTGGGGAAATGATAGATTTGGGGATGGTATTAAATGAGGTGATCAGAGACATGTTGGGGTGGCAAATGACCCTGAATAGCTTTTCAGGGGAGATTTAGGGATAACAACTAAGGAAATGATCATGAATACACTCCATGAAGATGGGGGTGGGATCTAGGGAGAGATGATGAGGGGTGATATTTGGAAAGACAGCTGGGGTCATAGTTGGAGAGATGATTAGTGAAGCGTGGGAGTGACTGGGATGATATTAAGATGTTTGGACTGCGCCCAACAAAATTCAAATGCATGGCCCTGCTTATAAGAATAAGGAGGGCCAGGCTGAGGGCTGGGGCCCCTCTGGCAGGGCAGCTGGCTGGGGACCTGTGGCAGATTCAGCTGTCCTCAGCTTTCCCTCCCTAGCAGTGCCCCTGTCCAGTGGGAATCTACTACAGTTTGGGCTCATGATTGAGAGGCTGACGGGGAAGTCGGCACTGGAGTACAATAACTACGGCTGCTACTGTGGCATCGGTGGTTCCAAATGGCCTGTGGATGAGACAGATTGGTAAGGACCCAGGCACGAGGAGGTCTGGGAAGAAGAAACTAGATTTCCCCCTTTTTACCAGAATCCCTTCAACTCCTATGATTAGCCACTGTCTTCCCTAAGGGACCTCTCACAGGAAATGAGAGTTTCTGTAAGCCAGTGTCCCTTGAGAAGATCCCTGGACCCAGACTCCTCTCCCCCTAGTCCTTACACACTCCCCCGGGGTTGGTGCTATCCCCACCAGGTGCTGCCATGCCCATGATTGCTGCTATGGAAGGATGAATGAGCTAGGCTGTGATCCCAAAGTGGAAAAGTACAACTTTACTATCACAGAGAACAGCATCATCTGCGGTAGGTGAAGGAGGCGGAGAAGGGTAGGGAGTCATGGGGGATGCAATGAGATAGAAGTGGCAGATGAAAGCCTTCTACAACAGAGGGTAGACACCTCTTACAACTGCTTGGGAAGGTCAGAGCCCAAGGGCATTAGGTCTTCCCTCCCTTCTGTTGCCCTGACCTTTTCCCTTCCCCTTTCAGGGGGCAGAACTTCCTGCCAAAGGCTGACTTGTGAGTGTGACAAGAATGCCACACTGTGCTTCAGAGACAACCTCAGCACCTACAACCACAAGTACGCTCACTATCCCAAGAAGCTATGCACAGGCCCCACTCCACCATGCTGAAACCCTGGCAGCCTCCAGCGGAGTGCAAGCCACCTCCACCTTCCCAGCTTCAGCTGTCTTCCCACAAAATCCTCCTCCTGTCCCTCTAGACGTTCAAGGGATCCAGGACAAGAATTTCCTCTCAGACACTCAATAAATACTTGTTTGGTTATCTCAGCAGTCTTCCTTTCCCTGTATTAGCTTCCCTTTGAGGAAGCTTTTGGACCACGGCTTTATTAATAAATATCGGTTGTTCTGGTCCACATCTTCCTTTTGGTAACACTCCCTTGTTTCTTTGAGGTACCAGCCAAATCATCATCATCCCAAACTAATCAGTTCCTTTTACCTCAGACTAACAGAATATTTAATAGTAATAGTAGCTAACATTTAAATAGTGCTTACAAATGTGCCAGGAACTGTACTAAGTGCTTTACAATGATTATCTCTAACAAATCTAGGAGGTAGGTGCTATTTTTATCCCCATTTTATAGATGAAGGAACTGAGGCAAATAGAGATTAAGTGACTTGCCCAGAGTCACACAGCTAGTGAATGTCAGAGGTCACATTTGAACTCAGATCTTCTTTTCTCCAGGTCTGGTGTTGTAACCACCATACTACTTAGCTGCACCTAATTCTGTCCGAATGAGAAAAAACATTAAGGCACAGAAGGTCAGAGCTGGAAGGGACTTTGTTAAAATTAATAACAATTATAATAACCAACATTTATATAGTGTTTTAGGTTTGCAAAACATTTGCATTATATCATTATATCATTGATCCTCACAACAATTCTGAGTAAGTGCTATTAGCTCCATTTTACAGATGAGGAAATGGAAGCTGAGAGGCTTAGTGACTTGCCCAGGGTCACACAGCTAATAAGTGTCTTAGGATAGATTCTAACCCAACTTTTCCAGAATCTAAGTTCAGAACTCCATTTTAAAAATAATAAGAGCTAACATTTATAGCTTTTTAAGGATTATAAAATGCTTTACAAATATTTCATTTTATCCTCACAATGACCCTATAAAGTACTATGATTCTCACTCTACAGATAAGGAAACTGAGGCAGACAGAGGTTAAGTTACTTGCTCAGGGCCACAAAGCCAGTAAGTATCTGAGGCAAGAGTTGAACTCAGAAGGTCCTAACTCCCAAGTTCAGCACTGAACAAGATGCTCTCAAATGTCTGGCTGGAAGTGGTCTTAGAACAGAGAAGGTAAGAGATGCGAGAAATCTTACAGATCTAAAATTCACCCTGAGGGCTCATAATCTAAGGGACTAAAGACAGAGACTGCAGTCTAGAACATGGTAAGAACTAGCCAGTTACATAGGAAGAGGTGGTGCTGAAAAGTCCCTCTGCCCAAAGATGTGTTTCCCACCACCTGCAATCTAAAATCTCTACCATTACAGAATCATATAGCTAAAATGGGCCTCAGCAATCATCAAGACCAGCCTCATTTTACAGGGCCAATTCAACAGATATCTCAGGGCCTCCTATGCACAACACAGACAAGAATGATGTGGAATAAGAAGTGTTGGTGCTCTACATAGTAGAAATAGACAGTATTCTGGATTTAGCATCAGAAGGTCCTGGGTTCAAGTCAGAGATGTGCTGGAGCCAGCTCAGGCCAGCTCACAAGAGCTTACTGTTAAATGCTCAATGTGAGCATTTAAACCTCAGAGACCCACAAAAGACACAAACCAGGGTTTGATTTATTGTTTTGTTGCTTATCTGGACTCAAGTGACAGAGGAAAACGTGACTTTCAGAGAGCCAGTTGTTCAATATTTACCAGGAAGTCCAAATTCTAACATTTCCCAGTGCCCCAGCAATCCACTCCTCATTTTAAAGGCTTCGGGGAAACAGAAACTTCTCACACCTTAAAGTAAGATACGAATGTACTTAATACGCCAAGGATCTGCATTTCATCAGTAGGAGCGTTCCCTCTATGCCTCAGTAGATGGTCTTCAAGAGTTACCACAGTCCAAAAAGTAATTGCTCTATAGCCAACACCACGCAAAGCCTCACCCCAAACTTAGACTAATCCTTGAGCATCAGACACATCACCAGGTCCATACTTAGCATATTTTTTTTCAATTTTTTTTTATTTTTAGCCATCAGTGAACAGAGTATCAATGCCAAGGAAATCATGGACACCACAAAGGGCAAACTCTTATGCAAGAAGCTAAAGATAAAAAGAGAAACATGCTCACTCTGGCCTTGACCCTTCCAGGATCATACGGTCTAGTAAGTAGGGTGAGAGAGGTATGCAAATAAGTTTAACCCAAGTTCAAACACAGTCAATACAGAGGCATCAAAGTGAGAAACCAAGAGGCTGCAGGAGAGCACTTTCTTTCTCAAGGAGCTTACATGGAGGAGATACTACCTCATCTGAGCCCACTCTCTCCAAGCTTCTGATTTTCTGGCTTGACCAGCTCTCAGGTGGCTTCATACCTGTATCTTCCCTCAGCACCTAGATGCCACCATCTGGGGATCAGCCCATCGGGTCACCATGCTTCACTCCCTTCTGGGCAGGCCCCTTCATCCTCACCTACCCCACTTACCTATCTCTTCTCCTGAGAGCAAGGACTGTCTTTTACTTTGTCTTTGCAACCCCATCACTTAGCACAGTGCCTGATACGCGAGAAGCCCTCAATAAAAGCTTGTGGCCTGTCTATTTGCTTTAAAGGAAAGAAGGATTTCAACAGCCAGATGAAGGAACAGGGGAGAGGAAGGGGGGAAAATGAAACCAGGCAATACTGAGTAGTAGTTTGGTTACACTGTAGAAGGGCTAATGGCTAATTTGTATGTAGCATTTTAAGCTTTGCAAGCACTTGATATACGTTACTACATTTGAGCTTCACAATAACCCTGTGAGTCTATGGTATTATCATCCTATTTTCCAGATGAGGAAAAAGAGGCTCAGAGAGATCATCTCACCCATCCCCAACTGAAGGGGATTCAGACACGGGCCTTGCTGACTTCAAGTCCAGTACTCTTTCTACACCACACTACATAAAGGGAAAAATGAAATACGGCCACAAAGAGAGGATGGAGCCAGACTGAGGAAGACCTTGAAAACTAAGTCAAGCTCACAAAGAGAGTAACAGATAAAGAAACCAGGGCCCAAGAAGCAAAGTACTTGTCCAAAGGCACAAAGCTCATTGTAAGATACTATATCTGGAGTTGGAAGGAACCCTAAGAGAACACACAGATCAGTCCCCTCAGTTTACAACTGAAGAAAGCAAGGCCCTGGAAGGACAGTGACTTTTCCAGGGTCACACAGGTAGTTAAGTTGCACAGGTGGGATTCACACCCAGAGCCTCTAATTCCAAATATAACCCTCTTCTCACTGAACCATGCTACCTCCAGTAATTTTACATCTCTTGGTACCCAGTCCAAGGCCTTCTCCACTATTCACTGCTGGATTCAATCCCAGATGGACGTAATAAATAGGCAGTCTTTCCTTCCTCTTCATTAAGATGATGAGTGTGTGGGACGTGTCTCTTCTCAGGACTAACCAAGGACTGAAGTCAGCGCTGTTGTGGATCAGGACCAGGCGCTCCCATGACCATCTGGCCTTTCTCTTGCTCTCCTCACTTGGCTGTCCTGGGCAGTGAATTCAGGACCAGTACCAGGTGCTCCTTCTTTCCTCATGTGAACAGCAAGACAAGGGGACTAGTTTGGAAACTAAACTCTCTATGGGCTGGCCTAACAATGTCTATAGCTGACTGCTGGTTTCAAGTTTCACACACACACACACACTCCATCTACCTAGAAAGTCAGACGGTCCTGACAAGCTATTGACTGCACACTCTGCCCTCATTCATCCTTTCATAGACTGGGCTAAAATTAAAAGCCAGAGAATATGCTCCCAGGTTTTAATTCTAGCTGACTTTTTCTTTGGGGGTAAGGGGAACAACAACAAAAAACTGTCATATGACCTTGGGCAAGTCACTTAACCCCGATTGCCTCACTAAAAAAAAAAAAATTCACTAAAAAGAAAAAAAAACTGTCATACTTAGTCAAAATAAGTATTTGGGGCCTCAAAGTAAAAATGTGATCACTAGGGTCCCATCCTCAAAAAGAAGTCACTGGGTACCTGGGAGACCCCTAAAATGGTCAAGTGACCACCATCCCCTTGCCTCTTTGAGGGTCCTCCTCAGGCAGATTCCCAGTCAGTAGGCTAAGCTCTACCAACACTTCATGAAGCCTTCCCAGAGACAAACCAGGTGTCACTACCTTTCTTTCCACTCCCATTCCCTCTTGCTTTAGGGCTTTGCCAGAATTGTCAGGGTGGTGCACAGATGGCAGGAAGCCATTCTTTCCTTTGCCCAACTATCCACTTGGGAGTCCCAACGCCTGGGTTCCAGTTCTGGCCACACCTGGGTAGTCATATAACTGTGGACAAGTCCCTTTACTTCTCTAAACTGGTTCCTTATTAGTCACATGGGAATCCCAGAACCAGAATTCCAGGATTTTCAAGTCAGAAGGGACCTCCAAGGCCAACCAGTCCAGGTCAAACCCAATACAAGGTACCTAGTGAGTCATACGACTCTGCTTGAAGACCTCAAAGGAAGAGGAGCCCATCCCCTTCCAAAGCAGCTCATTCCACTTGTGGATAGGTTTAAAAGCTAAAGAGTTCTTCCTTATATCAAGACTAATTTTACCTCTTGGTAGCATCCCCCTGGGGCTCCTGGTTCTGCCCTCCAGCACTTAGCAGAACAAGGTTTATTCCTCCTCTACAGTAGAGTCCTTCAAAAGCAAGCCTGCTCCTCTTAAAACTCTTCTTTTCCAGGCTAACATTCCCCATTGATCCTTATGTGGGCCTAATTCTAGGCTTTTCACCATCCTGGCTGCCCTCCTCTGGATACTCTCCAGCTTATCAATAATGTTCCTAAAACGTGGAGTCCAAAACTGAACGCAGTGCTCCAGAGGTGGTCCACCAGGGCAGAAAACCAAAGGTCGATTGCTTCCTTATTCCGGGCTCCATGTGAAAGTGCTCTTCCAATGCAGGCCAAGATCACGTGAGCTTTCCAAGATTTCCCATCCGACTGTTCTAGCACAGTACGGTAACAGAACACTGGCTCAGG